TATATATATATATATATATATATATATATATATATATTTTGCATACTACACTTCAAAAATTAAGTTTTCTTCTTCTTCTTAGGTTTATTTTAATCGAACAAGTTTGTAAATAAACAAAAAAAGCATAATATTTATTAGTGAACAAGGATAAAGAGAAAGTGAATAAAACAAGTGGAAAAAATTTATTATTATTTTTTTATCAAAACATATTAATCTTCCTCTTTTGCATTAGTTTTAATTATATATTAATATAACATTCAAAAATAACTATTCTTTTATATATATATGAAGAGGGCTATAATAATACTAGTGTAATTTTTACTAAGTATTACATTGCTAAATAAATTTATATTAAATATAAATTTATAAATCCAACAGTTAGATTGAAAGTTTTTTATTCTTAGAGCATATATACAAAATTTTATATTAATCCAAGATGATTTGATACTTCATTCTTATAAAATAAAATTGACGTAATATATTCATTTCAAAATATACTAAAATATGAATACTTTAATAATCTTCAAGTCGTTAAATTTTAACAAAATTTGATATACACATATAAAATGATATAAACTTTCAATTTAACAGTTGAATTTACAAAATTCACATTTAATATAAAGTTATTGAGCGTGTAATACTTAGTAAAAGTTACACCAATGTAATAATTGCGCATAGAATGACCCTATATTGAAGATTTCATCAAGTTATTTCACTACAAGAAATTTCAGAATTACAGACGATCAAAATCCGTAAGTAACCCAAAAAATCTATGGTTAACACTTTGTTTCTGATGGATTATAGACAAACAATAATCCATCAGTAAATTGTTCATATGAAACATTTACCAACGGATTTTCAGTTGTGGGTAACTTTTTGACGACTTTATCGACGGATACATCCGTGAATAATTACATACGGATATATCTGTGGGTAGTTACTTACGGGTAATTACCTAGGGATACACTACAAGAATGTTTCAATTTAGAGTCGGCCAAAAGCCGACTCTAAATCATAAAAGCCGACGCAATATTGTCGG